GGATCAATTAAAGGAAACTTTAACTCCAAACATGAAGAAAATTGGATAAAAAAAAAACAGCCTACAGAACCCTCAAGTAAAGAAAATGTACAACAGGTTGATAAAAGAAGACTGTTAAAAATTCATGAAGGTATAAAAAATATGGGAGTTACCAACTCCTCTTTCAATAAAAAAAAATAGACATAACTCTATTAAACTAAGATTTAATAAGAGGGCAAAAATAGAAAGCATACAATGGTTCACAACTAAAAGTAGTCCATTAATTCTCATGTTCCAAACTCCCTTATGGAAACATGAATTAAGAATAAAAATGGATAAATCATAAGAGAAGAGCAAGACTCGCTATATGAACAACAAACAAAAGCTTGCAAAAACCAATGAAACACACCATCAAAGCCTAGAAATAATCCAAGCCATAATCAAAAGCTTATTGAAACATGTCAAATGGAAGAGGTGAAAAATAGCAAACGACAAAACTGAAGTATGTCAATCGACCACAACTTAAAGTGGATATGGTTTACAAAATTACAGCTAGTATTTATCCTACTATATGGGTGCAGGAGAGACCTGATGATAGCCAGTGGAGTTATCTGTAAACTACAATAACTTGAATAACATTAACAATCATGAAATGATATAGCTCTCTGTCTGTTAAGTTATACAGTATTGTAGTTCAATAATATAAACTAAGTGCACTACATAATATTCAGAACAACAGGAAACAGACTTAACAGTATAACAAAAGTACTGGTAAAAACAAGCAGGTGCAGTTCATAAAGAATGTAAAACATAAATACTAGACAATTACGAAAATGTACACATTCAAAAAGATTCAAGTAATGTAATGCATTCTTTCATCATAATAATGAGTATACAACTATGATTATGCAGCTACAGAAACTGCAATCCATTACATAGCAATATAAAGATCTAATACTCAAAAGGATACATGTATACAATAAATGCACAGCAGTGTACTGTAAAATACAATGTTTTGATAACAGATGCTTATTCATGAATCAAACTCTTGTTGGGACAGAAGAAAGTACACTTTGTAGTCTGTTTATTTTGAAGTTGTAAAATGCAGAAAAAAATCTACATGTGATGCATTTCCATTTCTTTATTATAATAACATATCATACGACTGTGCACCAGCAAGCAATAATATAGAACTTTAAAGAAATTCAGAGTCAAAATCAACAGTAAAGAACATGCTAACAATTATAGTTTAAACTTAATATTTTTACTTTTTATCGATAGAAAGCACTTCATGTGGTTAAACAAATCTAGGTATGCTTGCATATCAAAAAGGATCAAATGCATGCACAAAATATTTTATAAACATTTACTTTACAGTATCAATTGCCTACCCGAGCTCGAGTACCCTGTTCAGAGTAATCTCCTCCACTACCACTGCCTGTGTCTTGAGATTCACTAGACTCAACTCCATCATCACCATTGCATAAAATAAATTCGTGTTTGTAAGCCAGGTCTGGATATTTTTTCTTTCTTGAAATTGCTGGTTCCATTTTTCTATCTACAAGCAAGTAAAAAATTGCAGTTGATAATTAAGTATGCAACCCTGGTGTGTAATTCTGTTACCAACTATAACAATGTATCAATTTTACAACACGATCCACAGTACTGATCACTGGGCCCACTTCTCCTTCAATAAATCTCACTAAGCTCTTTGTCTGTCTCTACTGTCAGAGAGAATGTCAATATTTTTTCTGATGAAGGTGGTCCATATGGTCATTAAAACATTTTGTCTATTTGGTTTGAAACATGAATATATTAATAATTACTTAACCCAACAAAATAACATAAACAGTACTGTTAAAGAAAATCATTGTATGCTGAATGATGTTTTTTCAATATTCAGTTTCCAACACCTTACATGCATTGGCTATCTAGCAGCAAAAAAAAATATTCTTTTTTTCTTGTATTTGCTTTCATAAATATACAAATATTTCAACAAAATTATTATGATAATTTTAACAATAGTAATCTTATTTCACTTATTCACACTTTTTGAATCTAAAGTATTTAAAAAATTTGCATACATTCTTAAAATCCCTTTTAATTCTAAGGTAAATCAATTAAATCGAGTTGCAGTAAAGAGATCTAGACCATTTCAATACTAGCCATCTCTTGTCCAAAATATAAAACATGCAGTCATTAGCCTGTCATATAAAGTAACTGTGTAATGAGCAACCTAGCTTGAATAATGACCTTTAAACTGATCACCACACAGTATCAATCATTAAAACTCAGTCCATCAACCAAACTTGATTTTTAAAAATGTGATTTATTTTACCGATCTCTCAACTCAGCTGATTCTTAAAAGAGGAATGACCACTGAAAAAAGACTATTGTAGTAGACTATGTCAGAAAAAAAACTACCATAACCAGGACTTGAACCCATGGTTCATGACTTACTTGATCAGCTCTAATCCAACAAAACAAGATATATAAATTTCAAACCTCAAGCAAACAGTGTATCATTCTTCAGTTTTATCACTGAAACTATTAAAGTCTTATGTAAGCCACATGGACCCACAATCGGTTCTAACTGCTTATCTTGGCTGTTACATGGAGAAGCAGCTTCAACCATCATTATATTTCATGCACTTATCTAAATGACATTATATAAACATTTAAACTTCAGTATTCTCTTGACTATGCATAATAATGATATACTGTAAGTTTCTACATAGGTAACAATATTTTAAGTGCAATTAAGCCTTCTTAGAAGTACTAAATGTTATATCAAAAGTTTTTGTATTAAGTTAAAATGTCACCAAGTTTCATTCTTTGAGGGACAAAAGGGCCTAGCTTTATTTAGTGAATCATACGCATATTAATTTCATGCTGGACCCTATAATCTTACACTTAGAGCAGCATGCACTTCAAAATTAAACAATCCATTTGATATAATATTATGTGACATTAAAAGTTTACTGATGATAAAAATGTAATTTATAAGCTACACATATTTAAAATCTAAGTGCATACACACATGGAGTACAGAGACCAATTTGCTTCTTGCACTTGATACATACATGCTACATTAAAACCTTGTGATCCAAGAATAATGCAGAAATTCAAGCTAATCTTAAAGCTAAAGTAAGCTTTACAAATAAATTGATAAGTTAGACTTAACAAACATTGTAACTTACCCAGTGTCAAGCTTTCAATAACATATACCTGATACAGAAATCCCATAATTAAAGTATAGCATACCTCTGAATTAAAAGTTGTAGAATTTCTTTATTTTCTCTATAGCACATCTGCTGTGCTGATGAACTCTGCTTGCTATCAAGCTTTTGTGACAACAGATGAATACCAGTCCTACAACTCAAGTCAACCAGTTAAGTGTCATTAGTTTTTTTGGGAAGCCGTGCAGACCTGTACTCACTCAAGTATATCGTCATCATTGACAGATAATAACTACTTCCTGTTCTAAGATGTAACTGCTATACCCCATATTGCAAAAGTACCTGTACAGGAAAAGCTACTTCTATCTACATGTACACAGCAGCTTTGTTTATTCAGCAATGGCTGCTCTTTTAATCAATAATGTACTTGTCTTCTCCAATCACTGCCATAGGGAAAGGTTAACAACTCGTGTCTGTGATGACCGTGCAAAAAATAATTACTTTGATGTGCATATAGATTTTAAGAGTGTGTAAATATACATAAATAATGAAGCAGCTTACAAAAACTTATGTCACCATTATTTTTCCTAATACCATACATACATACATAGCATCTTTGTACATTTCAATACGGAACAATACAGTATCTTCAGTAAACCACATGATGAAGCACTCTTCTAAAGCTCTTGGAACTAATGCATTCTTTCCACACAGCTCATAAAATTATTCACTTCTTTGTTTAATTATACCATGTAAGCAAGATACACATTAATAATTGTTCAAGTCAAGAACTTATACACAGTTACTTCTATACTCATACTAAGCCGTTATCTGTAATAATAAACATGAAATAAATCTAAAATTAAGAAGTTTACTGGAACAATCAATATATATATAAAACATCAAATGTTTCACTATACAAAACTAGTGTACAAGTCAAAATGTCTAACATTTGCAAATTAAACTTCTAATCCATAGTAGGTTTGGTGTATCTATCTTTACCAAGTATATTAAAGTGACAATTTTAGTTCAGTATTAAACAACCACACTGCAGAATAGTGTCATTTGCATATATATATATATATATATTTTGTATACAATAAAAAACATTCCAAACAAACATTAATCAACTTCTTGAGAGTTAATGTTTTAACCATTATACACAAATCCATGTTATCCAAAATTAACTTTAGAGGATTTACAAATACCAGTCTCCTGTATGTTTCAATACTATAATTGTTAATGATGTTAGAACTTCAATTACCACACAAAGACAAAGTTAAAAAAGAAAAAGAGGTCAATATTATGAAATAATGGTATAAATACAAATAGTATTAAATTCATCGATATCTAATTCCCTACAAATACATATATTGATTTACAAATATTAAAATATTATAGTTGTTCAGAATGTTCTTATTTTACAGAAATCTTGAATACAAAATACAGATAAATTATCAGTATACATTACAACATAGTTCATTTATATACAGTAGATACTTTGACTATTAAACAAACATATTTAATATATATACAAAACTCCCAATATAAAGTAAACATATCTTAACCACAAGAACCACACACAAATATTCAATTGATGCTAAACTAATTTTCAGTTCTTTCTTAACTACCACGTGGAAACATCTATAAGCATTCATATAAATTTTAATGTATTCAAACTATGACTATGAACATACACTGCATATGCAATATGCACACTGACAAAACTTACTTTATGCAATTGTCTAGGGACAGATGCATGAAATGATCACATAATGTTTGTAGAGATGCATTGATTAGTTTACACCATATGTGGAGTTAGTATAAAAATTAATCATTTTTACATAAAATTGCCATCACAATAATAATACAAATGTGCCAATTATGCTTATATTATTTCCTACCAAATGTATTGTATAAACAAACCATTGGTTTACATACTTAAATAACTGTATATGTATTGACTACCACATAAAATTTCCAAATAACTATACAAACAAACCATAATGTGTATTATTCACATACAGACATTAATTTTATAGAAATTTTTTTTATCACATAAGCATACATCCAATATATATATGCATCAATGTTAAAGCTTTGAAGTACTCTTTAATTTTTTCGGTGTACAGGCAGAAAACAAATTGACAAATTATAACTGTAGAACAATAAACCACAACCCATGGATGAAAACGTATTCAGTTTGATAACAAAAACAGGTTTTACATCATTTAAACAGAAAGATCAAACACTGTTTACCATATTTGCATTTCTCATCACCTAAGTTTATATTAATTTAATTTTCTGCATTACAAACACACTACACTTCTTTTGTGATTTAAAAATGTAATCAATCACAAACTTTTTAGTATAAAGTGAAAACTACAATAAACCTAGATATCAGATATTAAAAACACTTGTAATGAATTTCATACTTTTGAAGCGATGTTTTAATTCATGCCTTTTTAAAAGTTCTCAATAACTTTGACTTGAATATCATGTTGCAGCAAGTTACTTGTTTCTTTTAAAATCCTGGCTTAGTTTGTTCACTTTCACATCAAATTGAGTAATAATCTTCTATTATGATAGTGTGAAGATTTATTTATGTAAAAGGTTTTATATAAAAAAACTGAAGAGCTTTCCTGTATGCATTACATTTCATTTTGTTTAAAATCATATTCCTAGTCATCCAGAAGTATTATTCATATCATCTACTCAAGTGCATTGAATATGTATAATATGAATTTGGATAGGTTTCAATGTACAGAAAAATATTTAAATACACACAGGTGATTCAAATCTTAAATCCTCATAACCTCTTTAAAGCTGTATCTATCATGCAGAGATCAGAAAATCTTCATAAATACTATTGATAATATTTTACATGTAAAATAAATTCAATGCTGGGTTATATTTTACATATATATGAATATATCATTTCTTTTGTTCATGTTCTATCTACATACTTAAAAAACATTTAAAGTACATTATCTCTACAAAACTGGATTAAAAACAAGTCATGACAGGTTAGATTACAATATATTTCTACTTAGTGAGTGTCCTGCAAGAAGCCTTATCTATCAATTCTCATATTTAGCCATGCATGCAAGTGATGTATACATTCAGGTTAACTTAGATTAGTACATGCAAATTAAAGAAAAACTCGTTGACCTACTTCTCTCAACTATAATGTCAAATGCATGTAGTAAAAATAATAATTATAACAGGTTTATATGGTAAAGTGGAAAAAGAACAAACTTTTTACGATGCTGATAAAACTGCAAAAATGAGTAAGTAAAGTATCCAAACCATCTAAATGTAGTGAAAACAACAGTGTCATCAAAACACACTGGCATGAAAACAACAAAGTGATCAACAC